GAATTCGCTGATCTAAATCATCAAGGTGTGACAGGAACCGTTAAAAACTTTCGACAAACATTATTACAAACTAAGAGCAGGAAAGAAAACTGCAGAAAACTAAAGAGGGGGACTAGATTTACCTAACTTCCAACACTACTACTTAGCAAATAGATTCCAATACATCTCTAAATGGATAAAACATAATCCCTTAGATGAGCCCTGGATAGACACAGAACAGGAATTATGCAGTAATATAACAATTTCAGATTTGCCGTTTATTAGCTCTAAGATCAAGCAGCATGTTTTAAAAATATTAACATCAGCTCTTCCCTGACAGCATGGTGGGAACTTCTTAAAATAACAAACATCACTTATCCCGTGCAGTCGTACACCCATCTGGAATAACCCGGACATTCTACAAAACAATAATGTGATAAACTTTCCGTACTGGAAGAATAAAGGTATTAACTATCTGGATCATTTATTTGAAGGTACGGAGTTTATCACATTTGCTAGATTAAATTTGCAATATGGCATTAACAAAAATAAATTCTTAGAATATGAGCAAATCAAAACTATAATTAGAAATAAATTTAAGCATATTGATGGAGGTTTAATAATTCCAGCTAATATATCAGAGTTTCTAGAGTTAACCCCCCAAAAGGACACTGACTAAACTGGATGATCCAATATCTCTTCCTATTACTAAATGGGAGGAGGATTTATCAGCCAGATGTGAACAAAACATCTGGGCTCAGATTGTCTAAGAACTTTTAACATGACTAGAAACCCCAATTTAAAATTAATACAATATAAAATCCTCCACAGAGTGCACTATACAGGTCAAAGGTTATTCAATCTAACGACTGTCCACAGTGCACAGGCAATCATCTTGATAATTATTTTCACGCGTTATGGTTCTGCACGCCGGTTCAGAGGTTCTGGGTATGTAAGGATGTATCACCGTGCCTGGGATGTAAAATCCCAATTTCCCCTCCAGTTTGCTTGCTGGGTGACTTTGAGGGAAGCTCTTTGGGAAAAACGGACATTAACACCTCATGGCAGACGCTTTGAGTGTTACTGTAGGGGGGGATTACATCTCTGGTGGGGGGGCGGGGGGTGGTGGTGATGGAGGGAAGAGGTTTTTAGAAGGGCTTGGGGTCTGGCTCCCTGTCTCGGTCCTGGTCAGTGCCGTCCCCTGGTGGGGGCTTCGTCAGGTGGGGTTCTACATGGTGCCAGAGTTGTCTCCCCCTTTTTTTTTTATGGTGGTGTGACTGGTGGGGCCCCCCTCTCCGGTGGGGCTCTCGGGGAACAGGGGTGCCTATTGGAGTCAGCGGGGGAGTGCAGTAAGCACCCCAGTCCTTTGCCCCCCATCCCCAGATTCCTCCCTCTGCCTGCTTCATCACACTGCCACACATGTAGGTTTTTGGGGAGGGGGTCGTTACTGGAGGGCC